GTCCCCAAGGACTGCTTAGCCTACTTGCAGTTTCACAGAGTCTGTTAACTGAATGATCACTCTGGTCAAGATTGATGCAATTGTCTCCCCAGTGTTCCTGCCCCCTTTTTCTGCACAGAGCTGTATCATAACATGGCATCCTTGTCTGTCCCATCCAGTGGTTGTGGTGATAAATGTCATATTCTATTAGGACCCCATCCCCTTCCCTTGGCCACAGTTTACAGGTGTGTGAAGCTATATTGTTGGCTGTATTGTTACTCTGACAGAGCTGTAGACTTCCCTATCCCACTGGTATTAGACTTGGTCATGTGAATTACTCTGACAGCAGCTTTAAGAGTTAGCCCAAGGTTTCCTGTGTCTTCTCTTTTCCTCTGCCATGAGACCAAAATGGTCCAGTTGTAAATTACTTCTTCCCAAGTAAAGTTCCCAACATGGAGCCAAGCCACAGCCAACCCACAATGGACATGAAGCACATGCAAGAGGTAAACTCTGTCGTCCTAAGGCACTGAGATTTAGGAACTGTTTGTTACTACAGCATAACCCAGCCTATCCTGACTGATGCCCCAGGGAATAGATATTCTCCCAAGTTGGGTTAAAGAAGCCCTGGTCTGGAAATTTTAAACCTAAGGACCAAGAAAATTAATTTCTTTGGGTGACTGAAGATGTTACATAAAACTCAGGTGACTGCCATATTTTCATGGATTGAGGAGGAGAGGACACCAGTGTAGAATTAAACAGATGAAACTGATGCCCAGACAGAAGCAGAAACAGGGAGTAGAGGGAGAAACCTTAGAGGCGATGATGACAGCAGTTCTCTAGAATAAATTGCATCTTGGTTCTTACTGTGCCTTGGTTGTCTTACTCTCTCTGGATTCTCTAAACCTTCCAGAGAATATGCCTTATTTTTTAAACCAGTGTAAGTTGTGTTAAGTAATTTCTGTATTTTGCAATTAGAACCCTAACCTATATATCTAACTTTACAGATTAAACACTAGTCATAGAGAATGGGTGGGACCTGCCTGTGTTCTCAGCACCTTTTTGATAGCAGCAAGATTCACTTGACATAGTCCAGTGCATGATCTTCTTCAGCCAGTCAGAGGCAGCAGGAGCGGCATGGGGGACACTTGGGGTTCACCTGCTGCTGGGAACTCCCATGATCCTCCAGGCTGAGTCCTAGCCAGGTATCTCAGCTGTCAGAATTTGAAGGGAGAAATAACAAGTTTGCAAAAGCCTAGACTATCAAGACACTAAAGCATGGAATCATGAAATGGGAATTTCCCCCAGGATTTTATTTTCCTGTTTTTCTAAATATTTAAAAAACATATATTCTTAATACTAAAACCTAAGTCACTTAGAAAAGTACAATGAAGAAAGCAAAAACTCTCCTGAAATCCCATCACTCAGAAAGAAAGGCTGTTAATATGCCAGTGATTATTCATCCAGATATTTCTCTCAGTCTATATGTATAGCCACATATAAATAGATTCAACGTTATGCAGATGGAATCATACATGTATGTGGTTTTGAAATTTTCTTTTTTCACTTAACAATACATCATAAATATCTTCTATGTCAGTAAGTACAGAATTATATTGTCATTTTTAACACCTACTTGGTATTCCACCCTATGGATGCATTTATTCTGGCATGCTATCATGGGATTCCATTCAGTACACAACACTGCATAATAGCTGAGATTGTGGTCTCTGGAGCGACAACACCTTGCTTTAAATCCTAGTCCTCAATTTTCCAGCTGTAAGACCTTGAGAAAGTTGCTTTCCTCTCTGTGTGTTTTGTCTTCTGCAGAATGGAGATGCTAATAGTACCTTCTTACTCACAGTGTTTCTATTGTGTTTTATTCTGATGATTAAACAAGTTAATACACAGGAAGTGCTTAGAATAATCCCTGCATTGGCCCAGCTCTGTGGCTCATGCCAGTAATCCCAGCCCTTTGGGAGGCCGAGCCAGGAGGATCACTTGAGCTTAAGAGTTTGAGACCAGTCCGGGCAACATGGCAAAACCCTGTCTCTACCAAAAACAAACAAACAAACAAAACAGAACAAAACAAAACAAAAATTAGCCAGATGTGGTTGCGTGCACCTGTAGTCTCAGCTACTTGGAAAGTTGAGGTGGAAGGATCGCTTGAGTCCAAGAGGTCCAGACTGCAGTGAACTGAGATCACACCACTGCACTCCAGCCTGGATGACAGAGGGAGACCCTGTCTCAAAAACAAAGAATAAAAAAGAATAATGCCTGCATCACACATCACAGTAAGTCTCATTGCATAGTACTATGATTTAATTATATTTCAATAACTAATCCCCCATTGACAGATATTTGGGTTGTTTCCAATTTTCTACTATATTTCTGCAAAGCAACAAACATCTGCTATATATATTTTGTCCACTTGTCAGATGATGTCTTTAGATAAGTTCTTGAAAATGAATTTGTTTGTATATAAAGCACTCAACTTGATGTTTGTCCTCAAACTGCTTTCTAGAAATATTGTACTAAATCACATTCTCATAAACAGTGAGAGAGAATGCCCATTTTTCCAGACCCTTCAGTAGCACTTAATTTGTTCAATATTTTAAAATTTGCCAGCTAATAGGTAAAAAGTACAACTTCCTGAATTTTTTATTTGCATTTATTTCACTGCTAGAGAGGACGGTTATTTTCTCCTGTTTGGGACCTTTATATTTCTTTTTTTGTGAACTGCCTGCTCATCTCTTTTATTCTTTGTTCTATTGTGATCATATTTTTTTAAAAATGATTATAAGAGTTCTTTGTAAGATATCTACATTAAAATGTTGCTGTTATGTTAGGGCTGCCAGATTAAAATGCAGGACATCAGGTTAAATTTGACTTTCAGACAAATGATGAATGGGACATAATCATACTAAAAAATCATTCGTAGTCTATCTGAAATTCAAATTCAACCAGGTTTATATTTCTATTTGTTAAACTTAGCAACCCCATCTCTTATGGATAGCAAATATTTTTCCAGTTTGTTGTTTATTTTTTAATTCTGTTTATGGTGTCTTTTTCCATGAAGATGTTTATTTGGATCTTTTATAATCATATATATCAGTCTTTTCCTTTATGGTTTTATGATATATTTAGAAAGGTTTTCAGAATTCTAGGTTTATGATGAATTTTTATGTACATATTCATCTAATTATTTTTTGACTTCGGTTTTTTTATGTTCAATTTATGATGGATCTGGAATTTGTTTTGGTCTGGGGAACTAGGTAGAAAATGAGCTCCCCACACTTTCACTAATGATTATCTAGTTATTCCAATATCATTTATTTAAAAATCTATCTATCTGGGCCAGGTGTGGTGACTCACACCTGTAATCCCAGCATTTTGGGAGGCAGAGGTGGGTAGATCACCTGCGATCAGGAGTTCGAGACCAGACTGGCCAACATGGTGAAACCCTGTATCTAACAAAAATTTGCCAGGAGTGGTGGCGCGCGTCTGTAATCCCAACTACTTGGGAGGCTGAGGAAGGAGAATTGCTTGAACACAGGAGGCAGAGGGTTGCAGTGAGCCAAGATCATGCCATTACATTCCAGCCTGGGCAACAAGAGCGAAACTCCATCAAAAAATAAAATAAAATAAAATAAAATAAAATAAAATAAAATAAAAAACTATCTATCTGATTAACATGAAGTGCCACCTTAAACACCACAGTTTCTCATGTACTCCTAATTCTGGGCTCTTCACCCCACTCCATTGAACAGTCATGTCCGGGCCAGTAATGTGCTGGCTTTTGCTTTGTGACAGAGGCAGTGTCGTGTGATGGGGTTGAAGCATATAGACGCATAGTTTTTACAGGCCGAACGCCTGCATCAAACCCCTGATCCCGTATTCCTACCTGTGTGACCTTGGGTGTGATACTTACACTTTTGGGCTTCCATTTCCTATCTGAAAATGGCAGCAGTATCAGTACCTGCATCATACAGTTGTTGTGATGAATAAAATGTATTAATCCATGTAGAGCACTTCCTTAAATAGTAAGCACTCAGTCACTGTATTTTATTTATTCATTTATTCATTTATGCATGCAAGCATTTCTTCATTTTAATATCCAGCAGGGCTAGCTTCCCTTATGCTCTTCTTTATCAACATTTTGTTGCCTGTTCTCTTTATTCTTCCACATGACACTAAGAATCATGTCAAGTTAAAAAGAAAATTCTACTTGGAATTTGATAGAGATGGCATTGAATTGACAGATAAAGAGGACATGATAGGATTACACTGTTTACTTCTTCTTGTCGAAGAATAAGGTGTGTGTCATAATAGATTCAAGTCTTCTGTAGTCTCCCAGTACAGAAGGTTGTTTGTTTTGCGTTTTTTTCACACTTCATGATAAGTTTATTTTCCTAGCTACTGTGTCTTGGCTATTAGTGAGAATGGGATTTTTTATTTGCCTTTCAAACTGGTTAGTAAGTGCACAAGAACACTGTTAATTTGGTATGTTTATTTTTAGCCTGCCAGTTCCTTGGAAAAGCTATTATTTCAACAATCTTCAGTTTGCACTTTCCAACTACACAATCACATCCTCTGCAAATAGTAATCATTTTTCTCCCGCTTCACATACATATAATATATATACATGTATACACACATATAGAGTATATATTTTTTAACAAAAGCACAACTTCAGTGTTTTTACATCTTATTTCCTTCTCTTGTCTAATTGCATTGACCAGACGTCCCAAACCGGCCCCCTGCTCTTGCCCCTAACTTTAATGGATATGTTTGGCTTGCTGTTAAACATACTGCAGGAGAAGGCTTTGAGAGGGTTTTGTTGTCGTTGTTGTTTGGGGTGATTTTTTTTTTTTAACTGTAAAGGGAATATCTGAAGAAAATGCATTTGAAGAGGATATTAGAATAGACCAGATTGGTTTGTGCGCCTGCAAGGAGCCCTTGAGCCCCCTCCCCTCGCTGCCAACGCTCTGCCCCGGGGGCTGAAGTTTCTCTCTGCGTTTCCGCTTGAACAGCGTCCAGCTGCCTCGCCTTTAAAATGACAGGGCAGCCGCGGCTCCGCTCAGAGCCCCCTCTCGGCTGCTGGCCCGGGCTCGCCCGCGCCGCCGGGGCTCTGACTCAGCCGCAGCCCGGCCGCTCCCGCCGAGCCGGGCCTGGGCAGCGCCCCCCGCGCTTCGCGCGCCCGCGCCCCCGGCACCGGAAAACGCCGTAGCCAGCGATCCGCGGTCGCCCTGGGCTCGGCACCGGCCCAGCCAAGACCCCGGGAGCGCACGGGACGGGCCTCGCCAGGTAAGGACCGCGGGAGCATCCCGGGACCCGCCGCCGCGGCGCCTGCGGGGCTGGAGCGCAGCATCGTCGGTGCCGCCGGGGCTTCGCGCGTGTCACCGGCCACAGGCGGAGGATCTGCTCGCTGAAGTCGGGCCGAGCCCTGCGCGGCCGCGAGGGGACCCGCGTGGACACCGGGGCCGATCCCCTCCAGGGCGGCACTGCGCCCGGGGCGCGCCTTGGTTGGCGGGGAGGGCCGGACCCGCGCGGCAGGTGACAGCAGCCTCTGTGGGAGCCGCACGGGCGCCGCGTCGCAGCGGCCCGAATTCCACTGCGGGGCTCGGGGCTCGGAAACCGGGAGAGTGTGGTGCTGTGCTCAGGCACCCTCGCTGTTCTGAGCCTCGCCTCCCCATTCGGGGATCTTTGGCCTCTCTGCTATTGAAGGGTTTGGGGAGTGTGAGTTGAAACTGAATCAAAGTTAGAAAGTCCTAAGTTCAGTTCAGTGCCTAAAATTCCGTCTCCTGTGGCTGATAGTCACATAGAACAGATTTTTTTTCTCAATGTAACTGATGAAGGTCAGCACGGATGTAACTTCTGGGAAAAGTTCTGTTGGTGGCAGCCTTTCTAAAGAAATGTCAAGTCTTCGTTGGATTTTGTTCTCATCTATGGCAAAAACCCTAATCCACGCTTTCATATATTTTTCCATATCAGTGGAGACGTGGAGAATGATCTTGGGTTCTAATGTTTTGGGGAATGTATTATGGAGCCGAATTTGATAAGAGTCTCCATGCCCGCAGGGAAAGTTCTGGAAAGAAACCTGTTAGAAAGTCCAAGCTGAGGTATCTCCTCACCAGGTGTGCAATAGGGCCACAGTGGCCTGTCAGGATGTGGCTCAGGACCCAGGAAAAAAGCTCCATCGAAGCCTGTGCTGCCTTCGTCGGGAGAAGTTCCATTCTAACCCACTCGTGCATCCGCCAGCAGGTTCTTCTCAGTCCTTCCCTGATTCTAATCAGAGGATTCGAGTTTCTGGATGAACACTGTGATACAATCTTACCCTTTTCCATAAAATATATATCCGGTGAAATAAGGGGTCTATTTCCCGGGGTCTGGAGTTGAAGTCTTCTATTCTTCCCTCACCCTCATTAAGCCACCTCTTGAAAGGAACTGTAATAATCTGATTTGTGGTCTTTGCAAACCTGCAAAGTGTGTTTAAGACCTCATAAAGCCAAACATTCAAGGCCTTAAAAGTAACTTATAGATTAAATTTTGATTAAGGCTACCTTTTCAGGGATGGCTTAGCATAAGATACATACCAGCTTTGAGGAGGCATTAGGGAGGAAAAGCAAAATCTTACCTCCTTGGGAAAACTGTTGTGAAACTAATGACTTTACATTTATCCAAAACAGAAATTGTGGGTAAGCCTGTTTGTTTATTCTGTGTAATCATTGCATTCATATATCCTTGTTTCAAAGGATTAATTTCCCAGTTTTCCCAGTAATACTGTTTCTGATTTTTTAATAGCATGCAGGTAATGAATGCATAGAGCATAATGTGTCTCTACCCTAAATACTTATGGAAAATTATAGCAAATTTCTGGCCATTATATGTTTAAGATGCAGATTTGAAATAAAGTTATGGTGGAAAAGGAGTTGTTTTAAAAATAATATGAACTTTAATTGGCCTAAAAAAAAAAAAAAACTAGTTCAACTAGAAGTTCAATTGCTGCTTGCTTATAAATTGTGATTTACAGAATTGCGTGTATCTTTCCAGTTTCTTTCCTCACAGGGTTAATGAAAGAGGCAGCCATTCCGAATATACTGCCTTGCTAGTTAATCTTTGTCCAGCAAATATTTACACTACCAGAGCACACTATTATAGCACAGACTCAAAATCTGCAACCTTAAGGTAGTTTGTGTGTAGTACTGCCCAAATTCAATACTATTTTCATGACTTAAATAGAAAATGAAATGATATCAAGGAAAATGTCCTTAAAGTATCCTGTCTTGCCATAATAGAACAGTGTTTATAAAACTGACATGGTTCCAAGACTGAGGTTAATGCTTCTAATAAGTTCTGATGTAAAAGAAAACCATAATGACTCTGAATTTTGGCATTGAAGGCTCTGGAACTGGTTCGTGTCCATAAATTTTTTAGATACGTTAAGTTTGCTATTAAAAGTGACAACATTTAGAACAGTTTTGGACGGAAATATTTCTAAAGCACATTACACGCTTCCTACAATCAGCGAGTCAGCGAATGGGAATTTGTGTGTTTCCTGACAACTCAAGATCAGCCCTGTGAATGTCAGTTGCCTTGTGGACATCAGGGGAGAAGTAACACTGGCATTTGTGGGGACAGATCAGCGTTTAGTCCTGGCTCTGCCACTAGTCAGATGATCTTAAGCAAGCCACCTTTTTTTATCTTCAGTTATCTTATTTGTAAAACCCCAGAATCATCAATACCTAAAAGTCAGTTCCATTTATTAAGCACTTAGTGTATACTAAGCATTTTATATATTCCATCATTTAATTCTCAGAATTATTATTCCCATTTTCCTGATAAGGAAACTAATGATCAGAGAAGCAACTTGAATTACCCAAGGTTAACTGAGGTAGGAAAACTGGGATTCTGAGCAGGGGTCACCTGGTTTTGAAGCCTGTGTTCTTCTCACCTATGTTGAACCTATGGTATGGGGTTGCTCAGAGAAAAATATCTTTGATATAAAGTGAGCACTCAAAAAAATGTAGCTACACTTAACTTTTGATGACCAGTTGCACTGAGTGAGGATGAAGTGAGATAATTCATGTTTTGGGCCTGCAGTGTGGCCCCTCTGGAAGTTATCACGGCTGCCTCAGTTATCCCCTGGAACTTCCATGCCTCTGAGACTCAGCTTCCCCGTTTATGACTTAGGGAAGTATTGCCTTCCTTGCTGAGTTGTTATGGGACTTGTAGTTGATGTATGTGAGAGCCTGGCACCTAATAGGTGTTTTACAAACAGTCCTTGTAAACCGTTCCCTTCCATCGTCTGTTCCTTTTGCTTCGTTATGGACCTCAGTGCTCTGTAGATTTCTTTAATCTACATGTCCTCAAACACGTACCTCTAGGGCTGGACATTCCCAGAAGGGTCCCTGCTGTGCCCCAGTGACTGTGATGCTTCAAGTCCCCCCAAGGTGGAGGCCCCTGGGAAAACACATTCAGAAGGAAACGTAGGAAAACAGTATCATGGATGGGAAGGATTAGGTTGGGATCCCTAACCCCAGAATCCCCAGCCCATCACTCATCCCTAGAGCCACAGACTTCTAAGAGGCCCCTGCAGCACAGAGGCTTCTACACATATGAGCATCCACTGGTGTTTCTGTGGCTGTGGCCTCAGGCCCCTTTGCTGGTGCCCTCCCCGCTTACCAGCCCAGTTCTGCTTTTAGCCCTCACTCAAGATCTAGTCTGAAAGCAGAACAAGTGCCTCCCTGATCCTCTCCTCAGGGCCACATCATCACCCTGGCCCTCAAGTTGTTACTACTCATGTGGCAAGGACAGGCCCAGACAGGGGAATAAAAAGAAAGGGACCTTTCTCATTTAAACCAGAGGCGTCAGATTTTCCCGTTGACAGAAAATGTGACCCTGGGGTCTCAGTAAATGACTTCAAGGCAGCACAGATTTCATATTCGGTACAGAGTTTATGCTCTGTCTTTATGGGAATTTTGTATCCTTCCTCTAAAAGATCTGACTCCTAGTGCCCTTGTCCCATTAGAATCCCGCAGACTCCAAAATGGCGTTCTATCCCTGTCCGTAGGATGGCGTGATAGAAAAGAGCTGAGTTCCCCCGAGACTGGAGCAGGGTCAAAAAGACAGAGAATCGAGGCTGGGCACAGTGGCTCAGCACTTTTGGAGGCCAAAGCAGGAGAATCGCTTTAAGCCAGGAATTTGAGACCAGCCTGGGCAACAGAGTGAGACCTTATCTCCACAAAAAATTTTTTAAAAATTAGCCAGCCGTGGTGGTATGCCTGTAGTCCCAGCTACTTGGGAAGCTGAGACAGGAGGATCACTTGAGCCCAGGAGTTCAAGGTTGCAGCGAACTGTGATTGCACTACTACACTCCAGCCTGGGCAACATAGTGAGACCCTGTTTCTACCAAATTAAAAAAAAAAATCAAAAAAGGAAAGAAAGACAGGGAATTGTGCTGCCACTCCTGCAACCTGGGCTGGTGGCAGACATGGGTAATTGAAATACAATGTTCTTTCCATAGACATGAATCTCCATGCCCAGGTGGTTACCATGAGTTGACCAGAGGTGGCAGGCATACTGACACCTGTTATTTAGAGGCTGATATTAATAGCTGACAAGTGGCCTGACACTGCATGGCCTTTATCATCACATCCAGTTCCCACCGGCTACCCTGACTTCTTGGCTCAGACGGAGCTCCCTGTGTTCTAGAAAACTGCAAATAAATGGCATACATTTGTCACACCTCCCTCTCTTGCCTAGAGCAGACATTGCTAATCAATCATGATATTCTTTCCCCTGGAGCCAGAACGAGGCCTCAGAATCCTTTTCTACAACTGCCTGGAGTTGGCTTAGGAAATGGTATCTAGTTAGGTACTGCAGACAATGGGGAGACATTGAGGAGTTTTAAGCCAAGAGAGTAATGTGGTGGCAAAACTCCTGAAAGTGTTTCCCTAATGTGCCTTTCTTTCTCTCCTTACCCTTTCCACTGCCTCTCCTATAAGCCATAGGAACATCTATAGAAATGACCCCTGTGCAGGCAAACCTGCCCCAAGATTCCCCACATCAGATGCAGGCTCTCTTGATGCTAGGCCTGAGAGAACACGTCTGTGCCCAGATTGGGCTGCCTGCATCGAATCAGGTATGACTTGCAAGACCAGGACTTCAAAGACAATTAGACTTTAGAGTTGGTTCATTTGTGTGTGAGAGGGCATAGTCTAGGCTGGCACCGCAATGAGGTTCCATGCATGGGAATAGCCATAAGCCTCAGGTCCCTGGAGGGCATGGGAGGGCATCCTCTCCAT